CTGATGATAAGTTGAGACGACCCCTTGGATCTCGTGAATTATGGGTCTCCCCAAAATCACGTTGTACACTGAAGGAGCGTCGATGACCAAAAACTCAATCATGACGTTCCGGGCTGCCTCATCGCAACCGATGGTGACAGGAAGCGTCACCTTCCCATCTGGATAAGTTGAAGCCCCATTGAACCCGGATACCGGATAGGGTACCGGCGTAAGGTGCTTGGGCTTCAGCTTAATTTGGTTGTAGGCCTTTCGGAACAGAATGTTTGCTCCGCTGCCACCGTCAACAAGGACCTTACTGACGTCGTGGTTGGCCACCGTGGCGATGATCACCAACGGATCCTCGTGAGGGAACGTAATCCCCCGGCAGTCGGCGGCTGTGAACGTCATGTTCGGCACCGGCGACTGGGGAGCTTGAATGTCAGCGTTGTTCACCTGGTGAGTCAAAGCTCTAAGGTGACGCTTGTGCTCCCTCCGAGAGTATATTCCTCCCGAGATAACATTGATCGGAGGGAATTTCCCCTCCGGTTTTTTACTGTTTTTCCGGGGGAAATCAAGGTCCTGCCGAGGGTCCTTTGCTAGCCTCTCGGATTCTTTTTTCTCGCGGTGATCCGCGATGTATTTTTTCAAGTATCCCTTCCGGACCATGTCCTCTATCTGGTCCTTCAGCTGGAAACACTCTTCAGTGTTGTGGCCCGAAGACTCGTGGAACTCACACCACTGATTTTTATTTTTTCGCTGATACCACTCTGGGAGTGGTCTCGGCTTTCGGTAACTCTGCTCCTCCTTCGTCACACTGTAAATTTTGGCGCGTGGAAGAGAGAGCGGAGTGTAGGACTCGTATCTGCCTGTGTATGAGGCAAACCTGTCCTTCTTTAGGTCGTTGGCCGAAGATGGCTCCGAGACCTTTGATTTTCCCTTTGCCTTATGGCCTTGGCCTTCAGACAAGGGTATTTGCCTCTGTTTCCCTCCCCCGGATTGAGGTTGGGTTTTTGCTTTATTCCATTCTTCGGCTCGGATGAACTTATCCGAAGCACTAAGAGCTTCCTCCAAGGTCTGCGGGGTATGCATGACCATGAAGTCTAGGAATTTTCCTGGCTGAAGGCCATTCTGCATTGCAAAAACAGCTAGCCCCTGGTCTAGCTGGGAGACGCTTGATGACTCGTTACTGAAACGGGTCAGGTAGTCTCGGAGGCTTTCGGTTTCCCCCTGTTGCAGACCCATGAGCTCTGCGGTAGTCTTCTCTCGGCGGTTTGCCGTGGAAAACTTGCTCCTGAACTTGGAGGACAGATCATCCCAACCTGTTATGGAGCCTTGCCTTACTCCCTTGGAGATCCACGCTTGCGCGACCCCCTTGAGAGTGGTTGGGAAATATTTGCACCAAGTCGGCTCGGATCTGGGGCAAAGATGCATATGAGTCTCATACGAGGCCACGTGGTCCTTCGGATCCGTGGTCCCGTCATATGTGATATGCGACGGTATTTTAACCGTGGGTACGCGCTCTTCCAGTATCCATTGCTCGAATGGTGAACTAGCGGGAAGCATAATGGCCTTGCCCTTGTTCCTGGCCGAAGGGACCGCGCTCCGCCCTCTTAGAGAGGTAGGAGTGGTTTTCGTCCCTGGCTGGGAAGTCTGGGCCTCGGCTGCAGGGAACGAGAGGCGACTACGCACGCTCGGTTCCTGGCCGCCGAGTCGGTCAAGGACGCTTCTGCGAGCAGTCTCGGGTTCCCGGCGAGTAGATTCTGGCCGAGAAGCTGAGCTGCTGCTCTTATGCGCTGCTGGTCTTGAGGATGAGGATCCTTTAAATAATTGAGAGTTCTTTTTCCTCTGTTTTTCATTTTTCCAAGAATCCTCCTCCCACTCTTCCAGTTCCCGGAAGGAAGGAAGCTTCCCACCGTCATGGTCTAACTTCCTCCGCTGATGCCGGGTATGCGGAGGAGTTTGATCACGAGGCGGTGGCATATTCTGTGCCCTCATTGCCTCCATGAGTACTGCCAGCGCTCTTGCCACCTCTTCCGAACTGGGCCCCGTCAAAGGGGTCCCCGGCCGAGTGTGGTAATGAGGCCGTGCAGCCGATGGTTGGCTTTGGGACACTGAATATGTCCTATGATCAGACTGACCCCTGCTAGACCGAGAGTGGTCCGGCCTATATTGAGAGTCATGCATTATAGGAGATAGGGAATCCTCCTTGTGTGATCCTCCCCCCGAGCCGGCACCCTTGGGAGAGTTCCGGTCCGGCGAGGGCGATGGTGTAGGGGTTTTAGGCTTTTCGCCCGCTCCTTGACGGAGGCTTTTGCTCTTGCGGTTCTTAGCCATGGCTGCTAAGATAATTGCAAGATGATCTTGGTTAGGAATTTGGCTTAAAGATTTTTGAAAGTCTTCCCCACAGACGGCGCCAAATTGTTTCGGTTGAAAACAATGGGACCTTGCCGAAGGTCCGCTGAAATGGAGAAGACTGGATTCGGTCCAAGTTGTGTTGGGCCGAAGGTTTCCTGCACAGTGAACACACGTAAACTAGCCTCGGGGGTGTTTCCGAGGAAGGCCCCTCCGATGCTAAAGTCAGTACAATGTGTAAAAGGAAGACACTATGCAAGAGAGTTTGTAGCTTGAGGCTTTTGTGTAATATTTCTGAATGCAAGAATGAGCATATGAATTGGAATATCCGTCGTTGTCTAAATTGTCCTTTGAATGTGTTAATATGATGGCTTTTATACCTCATCATACATGGAGAAGTTGGGCTTTAGCCCAATTGGCTTACTTTGTGGGCTGACCTTTGACTTTTGAGCAATTGGAGAGTTGAACCTTGACCTTGGGCTTTTAATTGGATCATTTAGTGCTCAGGCCCAATTTTGACTAAATTGGACCCAAACATTTGTCAAAAACAAAATAGGGAAATTCTCACTAGTGAACTTCAATTATTTAATTTTACAAGTGGTGAACGTTCTTAAAATTAATTATCAATGGTAAATCTAAATTATTGATTACCATTGATAAGTGTTATTTCCGCGACTCTCCCCCTAGCGCCGGCGACCACCCACTCTCCCTCGAAAATAATCTCCCACCACCGCAAAACCCGTTTCCCCAACACAACCCTCTCCCTGTTCGAATCGGCCCCCCTCCCTTGACTCCCACCCCGATTAGACCCCTATCCCCTTCGCGTCCCCGAAAACCGACGAGTCCGCTTCCCTTTTCGCGCAGCCTGAACTTAAACCCCACCTAAACCACCTTAAAACCCAAACTCGATTTCTGGGTTTGGTTTTAAAACCTTAAACAGGTTTGGGTTTTGCAGTGTTTTTGGGTTGGGTTTAGGGTTTCTGGGCCGGCGAACAGAGGATGGGGATCGTCGGGGAAGAGGGACGGTTTTCGGGGTGGTTTGGGCGGTCAGTGGTGGGTTATAAGGTGATGCACCGGTGAAGGATGGTTGGGCGGCCGGTGCGCCGGCATGGGTGGGGGCGGGGGAGGGAGAAGTGGGGAATAAGTGATTTTTTTTTTAAAAAAAAAAAAAAAAGAAAACTAACTAACTATAGTTAAATGTTTAGTTAAATTAATCATTAATGTTATAATTGATTTTTTTTTTTTTAAAAGTTAAGTTTACCATTGATAATTAATTTTAAGAATGTTCACCACCTGTCAAATTAAATAATTGGAGTTCATCAAAGAGAATTTCCCAAAAAAAAAATAAAAAAATTCATGATGATAAAATGTGGTTCTCTTGAAATTCGAGTGTCGTTAGTGTTAATATTTAGTTGGAATATCAGTATCAACCGGAGACCATTTTATGTTACAATAAGTTCTCACTACTCTCCGTTGCTCGGTAGATACTACCTTTTAGAAAGTGGTATATCTATTCAATATCAATTAGAGAATTGATATTAGAGAGTAGTGAGAACTTATCGTAGATACTACTCAATAATTCCATTTGTTAAAAGGACATTATGCATGTCTGCTCGGTGGTTAGTTTGATAAGCATCAATAAAAAACAAGAACCTATTTCTAACATCATTAGTTGTTATAAATAAATAAATATATATATATATATATACACGAAGTATAGGGGAAGGCCTCCCACAAACCCCCACCCTATCACAGGAATGAGGGCCTACGAGGAGTTGATTCCCATCACGTGGGTCGTGGGGGCTCATTAGTCGTCCTATATATAGAAACTAGCAGTTCTATGCTTTTATAGAGTATATGACTATTGCATTGACTTAATGAATTGTGACTTGGCATTATTGCTTTGTTAAATTAAACCGCGGCTCGTCTGAGGTCATTTTACGTTTTTGGTTTTCGATTTAAAAATAAAAAATAAAAAATAAAAACTGATTTTAGTTTGGGTTTTCAATTTTTCCTAAACCAAAATAAAACACCTAAACCTTTTTCTTAAAAAAAAAAAAAAACTCTTACTTCGAGACTGCCGATTTACTGAAAATAATTGGAGTTGAACTAATTGGAGTTGAACTGAATTGTACTGATCTGAATAGAGCTGAAATGAACTGTTTACGAGAGGAAGAAATTAGGAACTAAACTAATTGAAGTTGAGTTAAGTTAAACTGATTGGAGCTGAGTAGAATTGAACTAATATTAAGCTGAACAAAACACACCCTTCGTATTAAAGAAAAATGTGAAAGGACTTCAAATTTAAGTGACCTAATGGCTTCAAATCCTTAGAAGTATCGTAGTTATCTTACTAAGGATATTCCCTACAGCATGAGCAGACGCAGAAAGAAAACTTAGCAACAATTCCAGTAGAAAGGTATAAGCAAGTGAAATACTCCATAGGAATTTATGGCTAGCTTGTGAGACCTTCCATGGACAAATAGAGCGCACTTTTTGTACGAAGTTGTAGCTCTTGAATAGTTATTTAATATCGAAAGGAGCATCATCCGGAGTAATAGCTTAAAAATAACATAACCTAAAATGTACAAATGCCATATTTTTCTGTAGTCATTCGAACCAAAATTGTCCAAATTTAATTACTAGAACTAGAATTGATATACTACGTATTTGAAAAATTTTGGGACCTTAAATTTAATTACCCAGATAATGGTTTAGTAATGCAGGTACCCCAGTACAAATTACAATCTTACTACAAATACAGCCTTAGACCAAGACTTCCAAAGTTCAAACCAATTATCAGTTGCTCCAACCTACTGAACACCCGTCTACTCATCTGCTTTCAACTTTGAATTATCTTCTTCAACACTAAGCATCACTTGATGTGGCTTGAAATGGTGTTTCTCTTACCAACCAATGTTTTGTGATTTTGTCAAAGAGTGCAAACATAGAGAATCAAGACAATATGGACCACAATAGTATTTAATTAATCTAACTTTGGAAATGAATACAATAATTGCACATCAACTTGGGAAAAAGGATGGATTAAGACAAACAAGTCCAACACAAATTAATTCACATACACAAATGATATAGGCACTAACTCATTCGGTAGCCTTCCCTTTGCGCCTGTTGCTACTGCTAGTCTCTAACAAATAACAGACTATAGAATCAACATCATCTCCAAATATACTGTAGGCTTCAATGACCTGCAGGTAGCCAAATCCCATTGACAGAACAACCTGCATGCTGCTGCTCAGCATTGTATCAGGCGAACCACTTTCTTTTTCATTCTCACCATCAGGTTGCCCTGTTTCCATTGTTTAGATACTATTAGCCAACAACCACCAATAAAAGAGATGCACTACATTTTAAGATTAAAACAATCCTCGTGAGCATCAGAAAATGCCAGGAAGAAAGAAATCATAAATGCCTATGAGAAATGCACAGCATGCTGAGATTGCTGACATTACTTAATTTTTAACACAATTTAATGTTAATCATCGCATAAAACCAAATTAACAGAATTCATACTAAATGCAGGGAGCTGCTAGGGTCACTACCATGTACCAAGCACTAAGCCTAAGTGTATATAGGGAAAGGTTCGCCAACAAGGTAGCAAAAACTTAGCTAACTATGTTTTTGTAATGCCAACTAGTCGGTAATTGATGGAGGCTTTTGGTACATAAAGGGATAAAAATGTTTGAAAATTGTTACTGCAAAAAGGCCAACAGAACATTCTCAAAAAAGGCAGCAGCTTCACTGTAGTGACGATACCCTGTTTCAAATTACATAAACCAACACGATAGTTGCAAAATGCAATATATATATATATATATATATATATATATATATATATATATATATATATATATTTGATAACCAGAAGACCAAGACAGGGACAAGGGCTTACTGGCTCCGGAGGATGATGGTTCAGCACTAGATGTTGAGGATTCTCTTTGACCAACATGTTGCTTTGATTTGTTACCAGCTAGATATTCGGCTCGAGAAGCTTCCATTACCATACGCTCAATTTCCTTTTCTGTGAGCTCAAGATCGGAGTAAAATCGTCCTTCAGCCAACAGTGCCTGTACAGTAAGATGAATATATCAGATTTTTATGCAGTTTACCATAAAGAGCAAAATGTTTATGAAAATGATAGTAAGATACAAACATTGTCCAACTGTTGGTCTTGCTGAGCTTTTATGGCAGCTTTTACCTGATCCTTGTCCACATTTCTCTGAAAGAGAGAGAAGATATATTACATCCACAAGATCATAATTATAATTATTTAGCTTTGGCAAACTTGCATTTCAACATCAACAACTATGAAGAGGGGGAGAAAGTTTAAGAATAAAAGATCCATTCTACAAATACTTTCTAGCTTAAACACATTCAGCATTATAAGTTAACATAATAGTAATAATACACAATCTTGTAAGTAAGTCCATTGACAATGTCTTTGGTAATGAAGATTTATCCTCAAATACATGTGTTTTATACAATCCCATTATGACTCAACTTAATTGAGACTAAATAGGCTGTGAACAAATTGTGGCCATGACAGCTTTACAGGCCAAATAAAAAAAGCGTGTGCCAGTCAAAAAAATACTTGCACCGTTCCTACAAGATTATCCCATATACCAAAAAAATTACGACCCTAAAAGATTACCCCAGAATGGTATACCTTACTTGGTAAAATATCCCACTTGCAATCCTATTTGTTCTCTCTATCTCTCTCCTCGTCAATTTTTGCACATAATTTGCTTTGCTTCTTAAAAAAAATGAATATGTGGTTTGGAGCAATCTTTTATACTATGTTTGGATAACAATAGTGAAGGGAAAGAAAGGGAAAGGAAAAAGATGAAAGGGAGGGGAGAAGAAGGAGAAGGTGACATTCCAATTTCCTTCCAAATCTCTCCAACAATGGAGGGATTTTGTTTATAAAAGTGGAAGGAAAATGGATCCTTTCCTTTACCTTTCCTTCCCTCCTTGCATTAGATATCCAAACAAAGGATGATGCATCCCTTCTTCTCTTTTCTTCCTTTCCCTCCATTTCTCTGCAATACACCCACAATCTCCACCTAATTTAGTGTATAGCAGGAGACCAAGGAGGGGACAGGAACAGCAGAAGCGGCAGAGCACTTCTCCACCACCTACACAAGCAACGGTCCTCTGATTAGTGGCAGGGAGCATGTTTTGGTGTATTAGCTCTTTTAACTGTGGTAACTCTAGCTTATTGATAAGTTGTAGTAAATTAGCGATTAAGGCTTTTGTCCATTTATGTATCAATTGTAGTAGTATAAGTAGAGGGAGTCTAAAGTAGAGAAGGTATGCAGAAAATTGTAAGAAACACTTGGAGAGTATGGCCTAAAGCCATTGTTATCATTTACGCAAGCTTTAAGCTTTCAATCAATCAACCTGCCTTTCATCTATATTTATCGTATCACGTAGTCCGTTGCACTTGGTATCAGAGCCGACATGCCTCCGACGCCGTTGACCGTGACGCCGGAGCGAGTGGCGGCGCTCGAAGAAAGGGTGGAAGAAATTTTCAAGAAACTCGGTGAAGGGGAAAACTCACTCCAGCAGACTTGTTAAAGAAGCAGGACGAACCCATTGATAAGGTGAGGCAATCATTGGAGGGTAAAATGGATCGATTCCGGCAAGACATAACCCAACAAGTTAACATGACGACAAGCCGACAAGACAAGATCATGGATGAAATTCGCAGCGCCCTTAAAGCCTTGGGTAACCCGCCGACGCAACCAGTAGGGGCTGAACAAGAGGTGGAGCAACCGCCGCACGGAGAAACTCCAATCGGAATAGGGGGCTTCAATGGCCTCCATTTCGGCAACTGGGAGACTGGACTGGGTGGTGCGTTTCGCCACCAAGAGAACAACCAGAAACACCGCAACAATTGGAAGTTCTGCAAGTTGGACATACCCACGTTTGACGGGACCGACCCGGATGGTTGGATTTTAAGGGGGGAGCAATTTTTTCAGTTTTATCAACACTGTGAGCCGGAGAAAATACAAGCGGCGGTAGTGGCGCTTGACGGGAACGCGCTAAGGTGGTACCAGTGGGAGCACCGTCGCCGGCCGCTGGTGCTTTGGGAGGATTTGAAGTTGCGGGTACTAAACCAATTCCGGCCAATTAACGCGGGCTCGTTGCACGAGCAATGGCTGGCTGTACAACAAACCACCACCGTGGTGGAGTACCGGAGGTTGTTCATTGAGAAGGCGGCACCTCTTTCCGACATACCAGAGAACATTCTAAAAGCTCATTTTATTAACGGTCTGAGAGAAGAAGTGAAAGCAGAAATTCGGATGTTGAATCCGATAACATTGGACGAAGCTATGGATTTGGCGGTGCGGGTCGAAGAACGAAACCGGGTCGCCGGGTTCAAGAAATCGGGTGGAGTGTTCACCAAGCCCGGACCTTACTCCTATTTCAATAGGAGCCCCGCAACCACAATCCTCGGGTCTGGGTCGACCTAGCCTTACCAGCCCACAAATCAGCCCAACCTACATTACAATACCACACTAGCCCAAACCTTCAGCCCAAACAGAAGTAACCCAACCCACAGTTACCAACCCAGCCAAACTTCCCAGAGAGTTAAATCAACCAGCCAACTCTCACCAAAACCGACCTCACCCAAACTCGTCTTAGTTCAAGGGGTGCAAAATGCAGGAGAAACAAGCTAAGGGCCTATGTTTAAGATGTGATGGGAGGTGGACCGGACCTACCCATGTTTGTGGAGCTAAGGGACTTAGCGTGTTGTTAGTGGAAGAGGAAGACGGAGAGGAGTTCACGACAATGGAGGCACCGGAGTTGGAGTGTGAAGAGACCCCAGTTTCCGTTTCGATTAACTCAATTGTCGGGTTATCTAATCCAAAAACAATGAGGCTCAAGGGGAAGACCAAGGGACAATCGGTGGTAGTCATGATCGACCTGGGTGCCACACATAATTTCATATAATTGCAAACCGTCGAGAGCCTTGGGTTAGTTGTATTCGGCGACACTAGTTTTGGCATTTCACTTGGGAACGGGGAGAATATCAAAGGGAAGGAGCAATGTAAAGGAGTATGTGTGGAGTTGGGAGATGGAATTGAGATAGAGGAGGATTTTTTGCCTCTTAAGTTGGGCAATTCGGATGTGATCATGGGAATACAATGGCTCGAAAAATTGGTAACCGTACTCACAAATTGGAAGTTACAAGAAATGAGTTTTTCCTTGAATGGGAAGACTTTGGTGATTAGAGGGGATCCAAGCCTAACGAAAGCGGGAATTACTCTTAAGGCTATGATTAGAACATTGAGAAAAGAAGAAGGGGGCATATTGGTGGAAATGAAAAAGGTTGAGAAGCAAGTGGGCACCCCAAATGAAGACGGGCCGAAAATCAGTGGGCCGCCAGATTTTTTGAAGGGGGTGTTAGAAGAATTTGCCGTGGTTTTTGAGAGTCCAAGTGGGTTACCTCCAACTAGGGGTCATGAACACTCCATAGTTCTCAAGGAAGGTAGTAACCCGATTAGTGGTAGGCCTTATCGCTATCCACAATTCCAAAAGGATGAGATAGAGAAACTCATCGAAGAGATGTTGCAAGCGGGTATCATAAGGCCCTCCACGAGTCCTTTTTTGAGTCCGGTGCTCTTAGTCAAGAAGAAGGACGGGTCGTGGAGATTTTGCGTAGATTACCGGGCACTTAACAAGGAGACCGTCCCCGACAAATACCCCATTCCGGTAATCGACGAGTTGCTAGATGAGTTACATGGTGCACGAATGTTCTTGAAACTCGATCTTAAGGCCGGCTACCATCAAATATTAGTTCGACCGAAAGACACCCACAAGCCCACTTTTAGGACACACGAGGGGCACTATGAATTTCTTATCATGCCTTTTGGTCTCACTTATGCTTTGACGACTTTTCAAGCTCTTATGAATGAGGTATTCCGACCCTATTTGCGTAAATTCGTACTTGTTTTCTTTGATGACATTTTAGTATATAGTGCTATTGAAGATGATCATATTGTTCACGTGAAATTAGTGTTAGCAACACTTTAGAAAAACTCGCTGTTCGCAAATTAAAAAAAACGTGTTTGGAATGCCCAAAGTGGCTTACTTGGGCCACATCATTTCTAATGAGGGGGTTGCAGTAAATCAGGAGAAAGTGGGCTCTATGATTACTTGGCCCAAACCGAAGTCATTGAGGGATTTGAGGGGTTTTTTGGGGTTAACAAGATACTACAAGAAGTTCATTCATCACTTTGCACACATCGCAAGACCATTAACAGAGCAACTCAAAAAGGATAGTTTCCGGTGGTCACCGGCGGCGGCAGACGAGGCGTTTCAGGCCTTGAAACAAGCCATGATCTCGGCTCCCGTGCTCACCATGCCTGATTTTTCGAAAGAATTTGTTGTGGAGTCGGTTGCTTCGGGTACGGCCTCGGAGCGATGTTGATGCAAGGAGGAAAACCAGTGGCTTTTTTAGTAAGGTGCTCGGCCCTAGGGGTCAAGGTAAGTCAATTTACGAAAAAGAGCTTATGGCGGTATGTCTCGCAATTGAGAGGTGGAAGCACTATTTATTGGCCGGAAATTCACGATTCGAAGCGATCAACAGAGCCTCAAATATATAACACAACAACGGGAAATCGGGATGGAATTTCAGAAATGGGTTCGTAAATTGGTGGGATTTGAGTTTGAGTTGCAATACTAGCCCGGGGTGGCCAATAGGGTGGCGGACGCCCTCTTAAGGCGTGGCAAGGCCGAAGACGGAAGAGAATATAATGCGATTGTGGCCACGCAATTGGTAGACTGGGAGGCCTTTAAGGAGGAAATTGCAAAGAGCGGGGAAATTCATAAATTAACTGCTGAAGTAGAAAAAGGGCAGGGACTCCATGGCTACACGGTGGAGAATTATCAGTTGCTATAAAGGGGTCGGGTTGTAATTCCAACGAATTCGGTGCACAAAACAGCCCTATTTCGAGTCTATCATGACTCACCGGAAGGGGTACACGTCGGTGAGACCAAAACTTATTTGAAATCGGGGCGGATTGGTTTTAAGGAGGAATGAGAAAAGATGTGATGAATTATATTCGAAGCTGCTTAATTTGTCAAAGGAACAAACACTCCCAACAAACACCGGGGGGGTTGTTGCAACCACTACCTATTCCGGAAAAAATATGGGAAGACATAAGTATGGATTTCATCAAGGGTTTGCCTCGATCGAAGGGAGTGGATACCATATTCGTGGTGGTGGATAGGTTGTAGAAGTACGCCCACTTCATTGGGCTTAAACACCCTTTTACTACATACACGGTGGCCGAGGTGTTCGTTAAGTAGGTGGTCAAACTTCATGGTGTTCCATCCACCATTGTTTCGGATAGGGACGGTGTTTTTGAGTATTTTCTGGAGAGAGTTATTTCGAATGCAGGGGACTGATTTGAAGCGAAGCACGTCCTACCACCCCCAAACAGATGGGCAGTCGGAGGTGGTGAACAAAACGTACCTTCGATGTTTCGCGGGAGGGAAACCCAAGCAATGATGCACGGGTACAGCGCTGGACTGCAGTCTCTCGTACCCAAAACGTATTGGGGACGGGTACGCGACGGGGCCGACTAGGATACTTCCCCAATCCGTCCCCATCAAAAGTGGTACGGCACGTCATTTAGGGGACGGCTAGGGTCATGATTGGAAACGTTTCGGGTACTGGAAATCCCAAATTCTGCCGTACCCAAGAAGCCCAGCCCATTTTTTTAAAAAAAAAAAAAAAAAAAAAACCAAATCAGAACAAAACTTACCTGGAGGCTACGACAGTCGACGCTTGGTTCAAGGCGGTGCCGGCTTCTTCTTCGCCAGGACCCACCTGCGAGGCTTCAGTAAGTGTTTCTTTCTTTCTTTCTGACTCTCTTCTTTTTTCGTGTAAGTGTTTTGTTTTCTTTTTTAATTGTTTTTATTTGTTGTTGATATTATAGTGAATTGTATTGACATTAATTGAGAATGTCAGTAGGTGATTTTTTTTTTTTTTTTTTTTTTTTTTTACATTGTCCGGTGCAGTTGAATGGATTTCTAGAGTTTGCGAACCTCTCTCTTAAAGTTTTTATCTGGAAAGAAATATGATCGCTGAAGATTAAATTTACCGCTTTTATTTATGTTTTTAAGAATTTTAGCACTTTAAGACATTAAATTCCGTAGTATTTCTTCTAAGTTGTGTTGTATGGATTTTTTTTTTTTAAATAGATTTATATTTTGCTGGTTTTTTTTTTTGCTATATCTGAGCCGTACCCGTTTTTTGAAAAAAAAATTGTCGTATCCCGTCCCCGTATCCATTTTTGTCCCCGTATCCGTATCAGTGCAACCTAGAACCCAAGTCTTGGGCAAGGTGGCTTCCGTGAGCCGAATATTCGTATAATACTACCCCACACTCCGCAACACAGGTCACTCCTTCCTTGGCAGTATACAGCAGAGATCCCCCCAAATTGATTAAAGTGGGAGCAGGACAGACCACGGTTGGGACAATAGATGAAATGTTACAAGAAAGGGACCTGGTGCTAGATGAATTGAAGTTGAATTTAGTGCGTGCCCAGCAGATTATGAAGCGGAATGCAAATGGGAAGCGTCAGGAAGAAGGAAGAAGGAAGAAGGAAGAAGGAAGAAGGAAGAAGGAAGAAGGAAGAAGGAAGAAGAATTTCAAGTGGGGGACTTTGTTTTCCTTAAACTCCAGCCATACTGTCAAAAGTCCTTGGCAAAGAGACCATTTGAGAAATTGGCGGCTCGTTTTTATGGACCATATGACGTGGTGCAACGTGACGGTCAAGTCGCATATAAGCTACTTCTACCGGAGCAATGTCGCATTCACCCTTTTTTCACGTCTCTCAATTGAAGCGCGCCATAGGCAATATTCCTGCTTCTCCTACTATTCCAATTCAATTGTCATCGGAGTTGGAGATGGTAGTGGAACCCGAAGAGGTGCTGGAAATTAGACGCAAGGGAGGACATCAAGGCAGAGTGGAGGTGTTAATCAAGTGGCTTGGGGCCCCCGAATTCGAGGCTACATGGGAAGATGTCGTGGCAATCAAAGAGCAATTTCCGAGCTTCCACCTTGAGGACAAGGTGGCTCTTTTGGGGGGCGGTATTGCAATACACCCACAATCTCCACCTATTTTAGTGTACAGCAGGAGACCAAGGAGGGAACAAGAACAGCAGAAGCGGCAGAACACTTCTCCACCACCTACACAAGCAACGGTCCTCTGATAATGGCAGGGAGCATGTTTTGGTGTATTAGCTCTTTTAACTGTGGTAACTCTAGCTTATTGATAAGTTGTAGTAAATTAGCAATTAAGGCTTTTGTCCATTTATGTATCAATTGTAGTAGTATAAGTAGAGGGAGTCTAAAGTAGAGAAGGTATGCAGAAAATTGTAAGAAACACTTGGAGAGTCATGGTCTAAAGCCATTGTTATAATTTACGCAAGCTTTAAGCTTTCAATCAATCAACCTGCCTTTCATCTATATTTATCGTACCACGTAGTCCGTTGCATTTTCTCTATCAAAACAAAGTGTTAGGAACGGAGGGAGTACTACACTAGCAAGCTTTGATGCTCAGACTGAAGTACCATATTGACATGAACTGACCAGGGTACATGCATGGGACATAGGTCTGACTTGAATTAAAACAAAACGGACGCTTCTCTTCTAGAAACAGACATAATGAAAAAAAAAATAACAAAAAACAAAGCATAGCTCAATTACTCTTCCACAACATACAATAGGTTCTTCCCACTGCCTCAATGTCATTTCAGTAAGGTAATACGAAAGCAGAACCCGCATGGCTACTGACCAATTCTCTCTCTCCCTCATGATAGGTTTACAGTGAAGTGGGAAGTTGGAAATTGCTTATAACTTTTTTTAATGTTTTACTTTACCCATACAACTTTTACTTCTAACTTCTTTTGAATTTTATTAATCAGAAATTTTTATTCTAGCAAACTATTCCTATCTCACAGAAAAAATGAAGTCTAAAAAAGTAGATTAGAAATTTCAGATATAATAATACTATGCTCAATCCATTCCTCAAAGTTCTTCCCACGATCAGGATGAACCATGGTTTAAAAATACAGTATTAGTTGCGATCACAGGAACAGTCATGATGTCATGGTAAAAGAAAGATGCATTGATCACGAAGTGTGTCGTGGCTGTCATGCGAATTTGATTTCAAAGTTTTTTAGGATTGTATACTAATTTTGACCTTTTTAATTTTTAAAACTACGATTGGGGAGACGAGGAATCTTTCACTATATCTATGAACAACAAGTAACTTTAGTGAAACATGGGACATAATGTTCAATGTGGGGTAAATCGGGTTTAACATTTGATTCAGGTTTTTACAAACATTGTACTGAACAAGACGATTTTGGTTCAGACAATGGAAAACCTTTCATGATATAGCCCAGCTGAAACGATGTGGCCATACTTTTGCACCATGGTTCAGGACATTCCTTAAAGCTCTTCCCATTATTTTTTACTCCTTATTTGGTAAGTAATTTTTCCCTTTCTACCCTCTCTCGTCCCACTTGTTGGACCTGCCCAATTTCAAACCATCTCAAAGCCACATTCTCATTGCTGTGTTTTTTTTTTTTTATATATATATATAAAAAAAAAAAAAAAAAAAACAAAACAAAACAAAACCTCACCTTTACACTCTATCTCCTCATTTCCTTGGAATTTGTATTTATATTAAGTGGGAAGAAACATTAAGAAACTAAACGAGTTTCTTTCAAAAAAAAAAAGAAACTAAACGAGTACATTTAATTACTACTACCTCCGTTAAATGTTATGTGCAACTTTGGAATATTTTATATCTTACAAATAAAGTTGCACATAACATTTTACGGAGGTAGTATTTATGTTGGAACTAATGTTTCCCTAAGTCCATATCTAATTTCAGGCACTTCTTAATATTCCATGGCCAACTCTTGAATCCATACCAAAGTATGCCTGAATGGCTAAATTTGAGCATCATAGCTAGAAAGAAAATAGACAGCTTCCAATCAAATAGAAATTATGGTACTTAAATTAAATACAAGTCCCTTATCAATCAAGATTAACAGATGAAAAGATTTAACACGCATTTAAATGAGCACTTACCCCCCGGAGACAGCTAAATCCGAGCCCTGCACCAACACTCAATCGGCGGGGATCCACAAGTGAATTATAGTGATTGCCATTATGGTAACTTAGCCGAATGGGAGGCACATCAGTGTCATAATTTCCATGAAATATGTTAATAGGCTCTGCATTAGATAGGTAGAGACATTGACATGATGAAAACCACGAGACAATTCAAGGTCACATCACAAAATCAAACACGTGATCAATAATGGAACTCACCTGTGCTATAAGAATATATATGTATGGGTCGATTATACATCTCAGATAAGGCTTGAATTTCCGCATTGTTTCCATAAACCTGCCACCAAGAAGACAATAAAGAAAAGAAAACATTATCTATGGTAGACGAATAGGATACTCCACGCTAAAAGGGGGGGGGGGTAAATTCCATAAGACTAGTTCGGCACACATGAGAACTCCTTTCTTCCTATAATTAGAATACATGTCAAGACTATCTTCCATTACATAACTACCAGGAGCCAATCATATCAAACACAATTCAGACACACTGCAAAAGAGAAAAGGGGGCTTTGGTTTTTTTTTTATATATCCCATACTGATTTGGATTTTGAAATACATTAAGCGACCACCAGGAGCCATTCGGTGTACTTTTTTTTTATAATAAAAAAAATAGATAAATAAATAAAAAAAACACATACGGATTTGGAATATCAAACTCATAAATATGAAGCCCACCCTCAACCCCCAAGGTAAGTGGGAGGTGGATTTCTTCCATCCTCACCCCTGAAATCATAATATAATCAACAAATTATTTAAAAAAAAAATAAAAAAAAAGGCTCTTTAAGCACTGGCAGAGTGGCATCATATTGTCACTGCAACCTGACCTCACCACTGCTGCCCTTCCCCACCATGCAACAACATCAACCAGCAAAAAACAAAAAGAACAAAAATAAACCATGTCACCACCTAAGCAACCACCAACAAAAAAGAAAAATCTCAAGTTATTCAAATCTCCTCAACATTCTTCAGATCAAATGGCCAAATCAGCCCAAATGTTTCAATTGTACAACTTTAGTTAGCTAAATAACAGAGTAACAGCCATAGGCCAGGAGAAGATATAGGAGATATGACGGTGTGATGAGACCAGAAGAGGTGGTGGTCATTTAGCAGACTTGATTATAATATTTTCTGTAATAAAAGTGGCATGTTTGGAAAGTGAGAGGGACCGGGGGGGGGGGGGGGTTAAGGGAAGACGAGAGCCAATATGAATTGTGGAGGAGCACATGTATAGAAGAGAAAGCAGTGGAAATGTAGAGTTATGGTAGTACACACCTTGTCTTTTCGCTTTCTCTTACAATAGGATGTAAAGCCTTCTATAATAAACTGTGAAAAATGATCTTCCTCGCGCTCCTGCATACATGAGATTAAGGGATGTGGTGAATGAGAAGAAAACAGAATATCCATAACCACTGAATGGAACTGTGAGAGCTGCATGGGCAACACAGCAGCAGAAGCAGAGATAGAGGTGATTGGTGCAAGCTGCTGTCCTCCCCATAACATCAAAAAAATTGACAAGCAATAGAAAAATAGTTGTATATATAAAAAAAAATTACAAAAATTAAACAGTAAATATACATAATCAACTTGCCCCCCTCGAAACAAATTTCCAGTTCAGCCTTCTATTTCACCATCCACCTTGTTGACTTATGAAAAATCGAAAAACAATAGATAAAATAGAGTTGACTGAAGCAACTGCTTCAATATTCACAAGACTTCATGATCTGAACACATGAGCAATTCTAATGCAGCTATTCTCCAGAAAGCAAGGAAAAATTTTCACCAAAAAACATAAAATACGTAAAGCCCCCTACCATATAATCTATACACATCTGCCTGGTCAAATCATATGCCTCTGAATCCCCATAGACCTGATCTGCAACAGCTCTAAATAAACAATTACCATCCTCCAGCATTCTTTTAACTTCCAAACCTTTAGCACGTCTAATATCAATCTCAAACTGTCGCTCTCTCTCCTGTAATAGAGATAAAATAAGATAAGAAATATGAGACCCAAAAATAGTTCCCAAGTCTTCAATAGCATCTTGAAATGTGACAAATTGAGCATCATAAGCAATCCAAGGATAATAAATAAGCTTATATAAGAAACTCTAATATAATCCAAAAATGAACCAATACAAGAGTTCTCTGTTAAGCCATTCTAGAACACTGTCATAGGACTCATAGACACTGATAACATCGTACAGGTACCATCTGCAGACCATGAACACTACCAAAACATAAAAGAAACTGTCTAACAATGACTCTATTGTTCTAAAAGGAAACCACCAAAAGTACAAACATCAGATTCAAGCAGTATATGAGCACTTAAGAAAATCATGGGATTACACTATCCTCACTTGTCACTACAGCCAATATCAGGCAGGTATCAAATGAATAATTTGACGTTCTGGTTTTCAAGAAACAATTATTAAACAACTGCAAGACTTAGCATGTCATATTCCCCTAGACCAAGACGTGGTATTCAAATATTTCATGTGTTGATCCAAATTGATAAGGCATGAGAGACAACTTTGTGTTTTATGACATGTGTGCCACCAAATGTAATCACGTTTCCATTTAAACAAAAACAAAGGATAATTTTTAAAGTGTACAAGCATGTTGCTTAGACAATGAAGAAAAGGATACAAAAGAACTTACAAGGTCGTAAAAAGAGGATCCAAAGGTGGGAGTTTGCTCATCGGCACTATTGTAGCCCTCAGTTTCACAATGTGATCTTGGCGAGGATGGTCTTGATGCAGAAGGGGTAGTCCTAGGAGGAGCAGGCCATGCAGAAGGTCTTCTAGACGGTCCAATCCGAGGAGAATCTGAAGTGCCTGACACAAATCTCCTGAAAACAGAGTTTGAACCAGAAGGTATTGGAGGCGGAATAGGAGGAGGAGGGGGTTGCGAGCTCTGAGTTTGCGTTCCAGTTTGAAGAGTATCAGCAGAGAAATCATCATTCTCACAACCATCCTGGTCAACGACATCTAGGCCAGTAAAGCCTCTCGTCAAATCCACTTGACTTTCATCGTTGCCAGTAATCACATTATCGGCAGCATCATCCCCCACACTCCTAGTCTGATCAAAGCTTTCATCAGCAATACCAGTTTCAGGCAAATCATTGACAACAACTTGTTCATCAGGAACAGCAACGACATGATTAGGAGCAGTCTGAGATGAAGAGCGGGTCTGGTTGGAAGAAGAACTCCCACGCTGAACCAAAATCCTGGTCATGACTGAGTTGGTATTGTAAAATCAATAATCAAATATTGACAGCGAGTTTGTCACGAGTCCTAACTTTAGGACTGAATGATGTGGTCCAGCCTGGTTCCTTAGCTTTGTTGTGTTTATCAGAGCAAATCGATTTCTGCATTCCCCTGAGAATTCTCATGAGACCCAGGCCTCCAATTTTATTTAATCCCCTCCTATTATCAAACAAAACAAACACACCAAACACCCTTCAAACAACAAACACCATCTACTATTCTCAACTTCAATCAATCAATCAATTTTCCCAGCAATCCAAAGCATATGAACAAATGTTATTATTCATCTACTATTCTTACTTCAATCAATCAATCAGTTTTCCCAGCAATCCAAAGCATATGAACAAATGTTATTATTCATCTACTATTCTCAACTTCAATCAATCAATCAATTTTCCCAGCAATCAAATCATATTACGAACAAATGTTATAATGATAATAATAGTAATAGTAACCCTAATCTGTAACCAAATTATCATGTTCCATAAGATTCTTTATACTCAAAGATCGATTCTTGCCCCGTTTCCCAAACCCTAATTTGACTTTCTTTGTAATAAAATTAAAAATTAAAAATCAATAGAAATCTAACAAAGAGAAGAGAAAAGAGAGAAAGTGAACTGACCTGACCTCGGAAAGATGTGCACAGCAACAGGAGAAGTGGAGTAAGAAAAAGGAGAGAGAAAGTGGGGTTTCTGGGTTGAAACTGTAGTTAAGTTGAGAAAACTGGATTAGAGGAAAAGGAGAGAAGGAGAATATGTTAGGTTCAGAGCCTTGTAGTTGAGAATTGAGAGATGCAAAAATGGATAGTAATAATTGGTAAACCAGAACCAGAGGTTTTAATCGTGCGGAAGAGAGGTGGAACAGCCACGTGACGTTGGACTTTTATGGAACAACTTCTGCTTGCGACGCCTCTCTTCCCGGTGCTTCCACACGTGGTTGTGGACCTACTTTTTTTTATTAACAAAAAATGAGGGTTTTTCTAAACTATGCTTCCAAGGTTATTGATTTTCTAAGGTGTGTCCATGTTTTTTTAAAATTACAAGATATATCCTCCAACTTAAAGTGTTTATTCAACCGTACCCTATAATCTTAATTCAATGTTAGTAGTTGTGTTAACAGTTCATTACCACATTTAGAGAGAAATTTCACGCCCATATTGGGTTAGAGTTATTTAAGTAGGTTAACATTTAACATTTTTTTCCAAATTTTCTCATTTGTTTTTCCTTCTATCTTCTAAAAGCAATCGTTGATATGTCAAGCTCTCGGTGTATTTCTTATTTTTTTTCTCATCCGCTTCTTATTACTTCCTATTTATTTACAATTCTAACGTCGAGTTTACGTCAGATGGTACGGTTGATTAAACAACTTAAGTTGGAGGGCCAACTTGTAATTTTGAAAAAACAGGGGCACACTTTAGAAACTCAATAGCCTTGAGGGCATAGTTTAGAAAAAAAAAAAAACCCAATAAATAAATAAATAAATAAATAAATAAAAAATATTTGAAGAGTTACAACTTACTTCTAAAACCAGAATGAGCATTCTAACCACTTGAGGAGTTGAGCTACACTTTACTCTTTTACTTCGTATTTATTTATTTTTGAAAAAAGCATATGAAGTAAATTTAACAAAACTCTACTTTTTTTTTTCTTTTTTTAAGGGAAAACAAAACCCCCCTTTGCATTAAGATAAAGTTTTTGACGGGATGGAGAAATAAAGTTTTATAATGTAACTTTTATAATAATTTTGATTAATATTTAATTATATAAAAATAAGGTCAAATTAGTATGAGGTATATCGGTATGTGTGCATAGGTTGACTATGTTAATTATTTTGGGACAGATGGAGTATCTTTTATAGTCAAAGGTATAACAAATACAAATACAAATGTATGGGAAAACACAAGTCAACAATAATTTGCAAGTAAAAATGTACGGGAAAACACAAGAAAAATTAATGGTGGCAGAAGAGAGAAAAAAAGTTTAGAAATTTAGGGAGGAGATGACACTAAAATCTGAAAAAAAAATACAAGGGTAAAATAGAGAGAAGGAGCTACATGACAAAAATATTTGAGGATATTGGTAATTTTATGATTTTAATAGTGTTTAGGAAAAATAAATGAGTCATTCTTTTTGGGACTAAAATTAGGCCAAATGGGTCGTTCTTTCGGGGACTAAGGGAGTACTAATTACTCATGTAGTCATGTATGAATGTTGTATGATGATTTAGAGTATCGTTCAAGCAAAAAACTAATTATAGTAAGGAAAAACTGAAATATAATAAACGAAAAACAAAATCATCAAATAATTCCAAGGAATTTTTAGAAAATAACACCACAAAAATCACACAAATTTGATTATAACACCACAAATTTTAAAACTTTTATTATAACACCATAAAAAACCAAAAAATTGGTTTTACCACCACTTAACTTTGTCATCCAAAAAACCGTTAGTGGGCCCTACTTTGTACACGTGTCAATTATTCATTGGATTAAAAATGAAAAAAAAAAATTAAAAAAAAGGAAAAATTCTAAATTCAAACCCCAGCTACCAACGGTGCCAGTTTCGATCGTCGTCACCCCATCCCACTGTCCACCGCCGTCACCCAATCCCTACCAACCACAATTGGCGGCCGACGAAACCAGCTCACCCAATTCCGTAGCCCAACCTCAGATCAACCTAAATCAGTCGACCACCGTCCCTCATACCCAGCCCCCGATTTGGTTTATGGGTACGGGTTTGGGTCCGGGTGAGGGTGAGAGGAGTACGACGGTTTGTGGATTTGGGTATGGGTGTGGGTTGGGATTTCGGCAATTCGGCGATGGTTATGGGTAAGGAAGAGGAGTTTGGTGACGGTGATTTCAGTTGGTTTAGATCGGGGTTACGGTGGTTCAATTCGGCGACGGTGTGGGCTGGGATTTCAGATCAACTGGTTTAGATTGGGGTTAAGGTGGTTTGGTGACAATTTCGGAGGTTATGGGTTGGGTTTGGGTGATGGCGGTGGGAACCCACCGACGGTGGTGGTGGTTGGCTTAGTATTAAGTGGTGGTGAAATCAATTTTTTATTTTTTTTTTGTGTTATAATAAAAGTTTTAAAATTTATGGTGTTATAATAAAAGTTTTGAAATTTATGGTGTGATTTTTGTAGTGTTATTTTCATAAATTTCCTAATTCCAATAATTATTTACATCATCAACAAAATTTGAAAAAATAAAAAATTTGCTACCAACACCAAGCATTCGGTTCGCCATAGATTCAGCCGGCGCAAAACCTGTGTCACAGTGATGGACTCCCGGCACCGACGGCAGTTATCCTCCGACCGATTCATGAACACATTAAAAATAATCCCTCCTTCTTCAATCGATGCCGGGGACGAGCTCAGCGAAGACGATGTCTTCTTCACCGGCGCCAATTTCCAAAACCCTCCTTCCACCTCCTCAACACCACCTCCTCTTCACCATCGCCGCCATCACAAATCATACAATTCAGAGGCCTTCGGAATCCTTGCCGCATTGCCGGAATCCGGCGACGAAATCCGACCTGTCTTGAACCATAAGCCGTTGATCTCTCCGCCTCCACCACCGTCATCTTCGAGGATGATTCCGAATCTTCCGAGGCCTTCCATTGACCGGCAGATCTTCTCTTTGCCGGAAAAGTACCATCAGTCTGCTCCGTTGAATGTGCCGATGAGACCGCTGCTGAAGAATTCGTGGCGTCAGAAACGTTTCGAGGATGTTGACGATGGAGTTGTTGCTGCTGATGATGATGATGGAGAGATGTTGCCTCCTCACGAGATTGTGGCCCGTCAACTTTCAAAGTCTCCGGTGCTTTCTTCTTCTGTGCTTGAAGGTGCTGGGAGGACGTTGAAGGGTAGGGATCTGCGTCAGGTTCGAAACGCAGTGTTTCGGCAAACAGGTTTTATTGACTGACTTTTGTTGTATTATCTAGTAAGTAGGTTCCTCTTTCTTTTCTGTTTTTACCAAATTGTGCAACTTTCTTTGTGTTCTAGGCAATTCATTCCTTTTATGGGTTGATTCGATTCTGCGAGCTTTAATTGTGTTGAATCGGTGCCAAAGCTGTCAAGTTTCACGTTATTTTTTGTGAATCTTCTTTCAGTTCACTTTTTAATTAGATTTTGGCTATTATGCTCAATATTTGAACTAATGATAACTCATCAATGTTTGTGATGGTGTATTCTGAATCATCAATACCGCCACACCGGAACTATATTGAAGCTACAATGTCTTAGTATAAGTATAAAGTATTCGCGAATGGGTGAAGTAGCATATGATCATCAATAGTTTTTTCACTGAAGGGTTTGACATCAGTAAATAGCTTCAGTACATCAAGTAGTTTGGCTAATGGGTGAAGTAGCATATGATCATCAATAGTCTTTGTTTATTAGTCTTTCTTAATTAGTATAGGCAGATATGCTGCTTTTTTTGGATTTATATGGTTCAAACTAATTGCTAATCAATATTAGTTGATGTCATAACAGGCATATCACACGTTTGATACTAATTGCCTAGCTTTAGATATCTTATTTCGAGTTTCATCGTTGTGTATAAAGATTGCAATCGATCTTGCAACTTGCATGAACTGAAGGCTGAAGGTGAAGGCACTGTCGCCCAGTGCTTCTGTTCGGCCATAGTAATGGCCGTTGTTGCCAAATGATGTCTTACATGGTGTTCTGCTGGGGCCTTAGTGTCTGAAGCCTATGTGATAAGGGAGAGTAGATTGAGCTCAGATGATATGTTTTGATAGAGCGAGAGTCATAATTTGTTGCAGTGTAAACTGTAAAGTAGGTTGTCAAAGATTGGTATTTAGTAAGGTCAATAATTGAATGATTGAATGATGATAAGGTGTAGTCATGTAGGTATCATCAAATTTTAATTACCGCCTGATAGACCATTGTAGTGATTGCTAGCGATCCATTATAGGAATACTTCAAAAGTGGCTTTCTCAACTGTCATTTTTCAGTACTTGTGTCTGCTGCCTGCCCTGTTCCTGTTTCTTCTTTTCAAATAGGACTGGGTAATGGGAGTATATTGATGTTTGAGGTAAATTTAATAGTGATTGCTGCTGATTGGAGATCGAAGATTAACTGTAATATATTGGTTTTTGTGAAATTTATTTGAAGATTTATACTGATTTTGTATCAGAGTGTACATGAAGGCCAAATATATCAGTTGAAGCTCTTTGTGACAAGGATTACCCAGAGAAACCTCTTAAGTGTTCGTTTCCACACATGGATTTACATGACTTGTGTGAACGCAGAGGCCGGAATGGCAATGCTCTTGACTTCTGCCTGACTGAGTTGAGAAAGTGTGTTGTTTTGGTCCTCTATCCCATTTATATTCAGGTTTTTGAGGATGCCAACATCAGAAGCATGGTCATCCTTTTATGTTGATTTGGAGATTGTCATGTGGTGCTGTTCAAGTTCACTTATTATTAGTGATTGTCTTAATATGTTATATTTAGCTTTTAGATGAAATTGCTTGTTCATTCTATCTTCCTTGAGAAAGAGGGTACTTGATTATAAATGTAAATGAGATGTGCTGGTAATCAATCAGGGGGATGATTTCATGCTGAATTTATACCTAGATGAATTGGGAAGAAACATTAAGGAACAAACAGAGTACATTTACTTACTATATATGTTGGTGTATCTCTTTGTCCGTATCTAAATTCAGGCACTACCTTAAATTTCCATGTCCAATTCTTGATTCCATACGTAGGTGAGTATACCTGAGTAATAATTTGTTGCAGTGTAAAGTAGGCTGTCAAAGATTAGTATTTATTTGTCAATAATTTGGAAATCATATTATCTGCTTGGTAGTCGCAAACTCGCAATGATGATAACTTGATAAGGTGTACTTGTGTCGATATCATCAGAGTTTGGTTACTGCCTGAAAACATTTTTGTGTTAGCGATCCATTACAGGAATACTCTGAAAGTGGCTTTATCAACTGTCATTCTAACAAGAGAGAATAGCATGAGAATAGCTTTCATCGGTTCATGTTTTGAGCTATCAGAGTAATGACGTAAGAGGGTGTGCTGAAGGTATTGCAAGTCATGGCTCATAGCTATGAAAAATTAGACCTTGTGCATTCACAAATCAAAATATTTAAGCACAGGTGAATATGATGGTGCTTGTATCAATTGGTTAGTAATAGTTTGTATCCAATAATTTTCATGAAAAATCAGTTTAGTTTTACAGCTCTAAAGACGGGCCTTAACTAATTAATTTTTACTTGTTATATGTGTGCCTCAAATGCTCCACTTTGATGTGTGTTTGATTATAAGGTGTTCAGAGTTTGAAGTTCTGCCATATGGTATTTGACTTTATATGTGTTCGATTTCATAATAATTGCAATAATTCCTTGTACCTACTATTATTTTATTATTTCTCCCTCTAAGTAACCCACATTTACAAATATTCTAGTATTTCTCTTTCCTATCATCCTCATTTATACTTTTTTTAAAAGTGTTTTACTTCTCAAAAACTTTATAAACCTGTTTTTTATTTTATTATTTTTAGTTTTACTTTTTCACTATTCAGATGCCATGTTTGACTTAATTTTTGTTTGCTATTATATAATACTTCCTCTGTTCTATTAATAATGCAAAAAGTCCATTGTTGTAATATTAACAGAACAGAGGGAGTATATCATTAAATTCGTTACAATGTCTACCGTTCATAATTTAATTTTGCATAATTTAATTTTATTACAATTTTTATCAATAGAAAATTAAAGATTATTAATGGTCATAGTAATGTCCCGATGCGGATCGAATTGATGTAATTTAAAAAAAACAAACAACAAAGGAAGTAGTATTATAGAATATTTTCTTTTGATCCCACTCTTTACTTTTCCTAAAACATTGTACATACCCTAATATTGCTAAACAGAGGGAGTATATATTAATTGGAAACCTCGGTCAGTTGTGAAATTTGCTTAGGGCCTCCAAATTGGTTGAGGTGGCCTAGTTGACATTTGTTGATGATTTGGGCTGATGATCATATTACATCTCCACGAATCCATCATTTAATTTGTTGACTTGAAACATCGGAAACCCAATTACAAGTAAAAGGAGTGCACGGGAGAAGGGCCCCTTAGCTGATTAGTATAGAAGTATAGAAGCCCATTAGGAGTCTGACTAATTCAAAGAAAGACTTGATAAACCCCCTCAAAAAAGTAATTAGTGATGTTAGGACAAGACTCACAACAGCATTTTCTTCTCACATAACCGCGTAGAAATTTCAAGGGACAAAATCTATAAATCATCTTGGCAAACTTAATCCTCTGTAATCTTTTTATCTACTTATACCAAATAAAATTACAGGATAATATAACAAAGAGATTTATTTAGTACAAATGGAGCAACTTCCACCTGGTTTTCGGTTCTACCCAACTGAAGAAGAGCTCATCGCCTTCTACCTCCACAATAGCCAAAGACCGGACCTACACCGCGTCATCCCTTCCATTGATATCTACAACTTTGAGCCCTCTCAGCTCCCAGGTTAGTTCACCCTCTATCTTCATTCATCAAAGTGTCATTTCGGGTACTGTGCATACATAATACTATCCCCATTTTTAGTGTCATTTTGGGTACTGTGCATACATAATACTATCCCCATTTTTTAGTATTTGCAGTTTTAGAATGTTTTATATCTCACAGATAATGGCTTAAAGTTGCAAATAATATAAAATAGTGGTAATAATAATGTTAGTTTGTTGTGCATTATGCATACATACGTAGTACTTCGTATTAATTAATAAGCATTCAGTTCTAATCTGTGTATTTGTAAAAAATGACAGGGCTAGCAGGGGAGCTATGTCACAGGGATACCGAGCAATGGTTCTTCTTCACGCCGCAGCAGGAGAGAGAAGCGAGAGGAGGGAGGCCTAATCGGACTACTGCTTCTGGTTATTGGAAGGCCACTGGTTCACCAAGCTACGTTTACTCATCACAGAACAAAGTTATAGGAGTGAAGAAAACCCTGGTGTTTTACAAGGGCAAAGCTCCTATTGGCAGGAAAACCAAGTGGAAAATGAATGAATATAAGGCTATTAAGCAACAAGACTTTCAAACTATTAATGCATCATCTATCACAACTTCTATTCCAGAGGTACCACAATATATACTTGTATATATATACGACTACTTCAGTACTTCTCTTTACTTGTTCATTCATTTAATTGAAGTGTCAAGTTGCCTTTTTCTTAAGTGACACCTCCTAGATTTAAACTTCTTAACCTTTTGTTTTAATACTTCCCCTCGAGTTCCTCCGTTTTATTTGTATTATTTACTACAGTTGTTATTTATATTTCTTTTATAGTTCTATTGTATTTTTATCAAAATAAATTAATCATCTAATTGCTGCACCAACGCAATATAATACTAGAGCAAAAACTCTTTTGAAAATTCGCATATCATCAAGTGATGCAAATAATGCGAATTTGATAGAAAGGGAGAGGGTAGAAAGAAAATAATGCATAGACTACAAGTACTTTATAATATACTACGTATTATCCTTGAATACTCGTCAAGTTTAATTACATATTCTAAGGCTATGTATAATAAATTATCCTATTTCATGACCTCATTATTTATTCACACAAGATTAAAAGAAAAAAAATTGATATGGGTTCTTCATGATTAACTATTTTTAATTTTGTATTAAACATAATTATGAAAATTACCTTTTAAAAAAATGCACATTAATATAAGACCCAAATTGATATATTTTTTTAATAGATATAATATGCAATAATTGTGTAATTTGATCAAATTTTGACTTATTTAGATTTAGGGGCCGGATTGAGCGGTGGATCGGATAGCTTTATTGTATTAGTCCTATTGTTTGGTTATTTTTTTTTTTTTTTTCCTTTTCTTTTTTGCTAAACCATATTGCTTCCAAAATTGGTGCAGCTGAAGCATGGGCTTAGCTTGTGCAGGGTTTATATAACCTCTGGGTGTGCTCGGGCTTTTGATCGACGGCCACCAGGAACAATCTTAAGTGACTTAAATCCTCAAAATTACCAAGCTATTCAAGCGAGTGGAAAAGGGTCACAAAGTGCTGATGCCACACCGTTGTTAATGGAGAAAAGTAGCTCAACTGACAGCTTTAATTCAAGGTGTGATGATCAGGGGACCGTCCGAGAGGCTGGAGCTGGAAGCAGCTACAACTCTGAGTTTGAGCTCGCTGAAGATGGTTTCTTCAGTGATTGGAAACAACTAGGTCGGTTTTGATCAGGATTCTAAATAGCCAATATATTGAAGGATATGCTAATCATTTTGCATCTGCAGGACAAGTTGGGGGCTGTTTCTTTTAACATACCAAATCTCACAGAAGATTACCGAGCAGAGAAAGGCAGTAGAAGACTAGAAGCATCAAAAGAAAGAAGTGATTTTCTCTTTAACTACGAGTATTCAAGACTTCTTTGCAGCAAATGATCATATATGATGAATTAGTACTTTGTTTAGCGACTATTCCTATCCGATCTAGCTGCTACTTTGCTAGTACCTCCGTTTTTTTTTTTCAAGGATAAATGCATCATTTTAACTGTTTTTACACTATATTTTAGCTTTGACCACTTTTATTTACTAATATAGAACACTACTCGTCTACTCTACATAATTAATATAAATGATACGGAGTATGTGTTACAATTCGTCATTTAGAGCAAGAAGTTTATCCCAAAATTCTATCAATAATTCAAGGCATTACACATTTACACAATCACAAAACTATAAAATAATATAATTTGAAATGAACCAAGTCGAGCATAAGCAACAAAACCCAATGTAAATTTCAGGGATCAGGGCCAAAGAACAATGAGCACATATTCTGGGTATTTTAAAATCAGAAATCCAATAGCATTTGCAGCCAAATGTGCTTGTTATCATGAAGAAATCTAGACAAGTAAGACAACTGCAGAAACGATCCATATTTACATACTATGTATTAAACAACTTTTCGTGTAAATCAAGCAGATATGAGACATGCACGCACTTTGATAAATGTACAAATGTAAATCCCTTTTTGTACAGACTTTCAGAGAGGAACAAAAACATCTTTTCCAAACACGTAGGGTAACACAATCGCAGAATCGCCTCTCTTACGAGAGAGAAACAACTGACAAAGACCTGTGAATAACTTCAGAACTGATGCCAGCAAGACAACTAGCTAAGTTCTGCAATTTGGCAGAGTAAGACCTCCGCAGCAAGCAGCAATTATAATAAATAGAAGTACAACCAGCAAGCATGTCAGCCAAAGCCTGCAAGGACGTTAGAAAGCCTGTCACAATGGTAATCAGCTTAGAGCCTTAGAGACTGTAAAACTTAAGCCTTGGAACATTCAATGCTCTGGTTGTCGTTTTTAACTATCAAACATGAGGTGCTGAATTCATTGCAAATTTTTCAATGTTCTATTATAATAACCCAAACAAAGATCACGTTTCAACTGCATCTAAACCTCACGCACAAACTTTGTCCGGGGAAACCAAAAAAGAATCAGCATGAATAAGAATTAAAACATCAAATGGATCCCTGTACCCTCTTCCTCCCCACAACACACGACCATATAGTCCATATTACCTATGTCTATAACTTTATTTTTACACACAATTGAGGCCAATGAAATTTGATTCAAGACATGTAAGAACTTTGTAGAAACTAGAAAGGCGAGTAAATCTTACAGCAACTTGGCATTTTTCATCCAGAGGGCACGACGAAGACGCTTTGACTGTTTCCTGAAATGGAAAGCACTATCTTGCATAGTTGCAGTTTTATCTACAAGAAGCTCAATTCTGTCACCTCTCTCCAGTATCTTTTCAATATTTTCTACCATAATTGTCCGAATCTGGACAAACCAATAAATTTTCAGAAAATGTACAGTACAAATAAAATAGCTCGTTAGTAATCAAAGTCCTGTTTGTTAATGATAAAGGAAGACTTCATAAAAATTACACACAAATCCTAACCATTGAGAACCAACAAAAATAGATATGAAGATAACTTTCACAATCAAATAAGCTTTTTCATGCTAATTGTAAGGATACACCCATATTCAGCTCTCATGCTGATGGAAGATGGATGGGGATCATACAAAAGGGTCTTACTCCAGCCCAGTCAACCAAGAAAATAATCATTAATGGTAAAATGATTCAATAAGAGCAAGCAAGATTTTCTGCATAACAATTAGCAAGCCTTCTCCACAAATTGCAATAAATGACGCAATATGTGCATCACATCAAAATGAGTTGAAGCAATAAGGAGAACAGTAAATATTGAAAACTAGCAAAAATGCTAAAACCTAAACAAAACTTGCCTCGTTAACTTCTCCTCTGACACGATTTATAGTATCTGCTGAAGGGCTGCTGGAAAAGAACTCCATTTGCTGATGCAAAACTCTTGAAAACTCATCGTTCACAGCGTAAGCAGGTGCATGCTGGGCTATTTTGCTATAATTTTTCATGAACCGCATATGAATCTCCTCTAAATATGAGAATGGGATACGTCCTACCAAACAACAAAAAGACAGATAAGAAAAGACTACAAGAACTAGTAATTCAAACACAGTGATGAAGAACTTATGCAGAAAGCTAAAGGGTTGAAGACATAGAGCAAGGACATAAGTACAAGACAAGATAAAGAGGCTGAGCCTCCATGCAAATTATGAATAATAACTTTCAATCAGAACTAAGAGGCTGAGCCTCCATGCAAATTATGAATAATAACTTTCAATCAGAACTTTAATCCATTCATAAGTACAGTAGGGCTTTGCCCTGAAATTTAGTCAAAGGATTAATCTAAGTAAATTCCATTCATAGAGGCCTTTAAAATTAAACAATGAAGTCCATTATAAATCCTTATGTTACTGCATAAGAAATCACAAGCCATTCCTAAAGTTGATTCACATATCATACTATAGAAATTCACAAGGGAAAACTTTAGACTCACATTTTTAAGGATAAGCTTATTAATAGAAATATTAGTGTCTCACTTTTCACAATACCGCTCAACCCTCTGCAAATGATATTTTCTAGTACAATCTACAAGATAACAAACACTTAAATTCCAATGATAGCACGGAATCCTTCCAATTTGTCAATTGATGCCACAATGACCACAACACACAACACAATCCCTCACTTTTGCAGCTCTATTACCATGTTTGCAATTGCAATGCAATAACATGATCAACAAAATAGAGACTAGGTAAAAAAATCCAATAGCCAACACAAGGTTTTATAGCACGTCTAGAGGAGTAAAAACATATATCATGGAAAGAACTCACTCCCTTTACTTTGTACAACCTCTTTTGCTATTGTCTATCCGGGATTTAATTAACGTAAGGATTAAAGTCAACAAAAAAACTCCTCCCTAAGATCAACCTCTGGAATCAAAGAGCACTAAAAGTCCAAAAAGTTGTCCCACGCCTTCACATTTGTCTAACTGACAGAACGGCAGTCACAAAAGACATTCTACACCTCCCAACTTGTGTGCACATACACCCACACAACACATAAAAATGCACTGTAACAAATGCAAAGTCTTCTGGAAACTATGGGATAAAACAGATGAATGATGTAGATCACCTAATTGAGTTGCATAATCATTTTAATTTGAAACACCATTTTTGCCCCTACCCTACCCCTCAACCCTCATTAATTACACTCTCTAACAAAATGCCACGAGGAACATTACATTAAGGGGAGGCTCAAGATTGGGTGAACAATCGAGGTATAAAACTCATCAGCAGTCCATAAAATTATGGGAGAGAATGACAGACAGTAGAATGAGGAATATACGAGGATCTCACACAACCAATTTGGGTTTATGCCAGAACGGTCTGCCATGGAAGCTATACATTTGATAAGGCATTGATTCAACTCTTAGCTCAAATGGAGAGCAAAGGGTAATATGTGACCTAGCATATCATGGAAGATATACATTTGATAAAGCATCATACGGCGATCACACCAGGGTTTATAAGTCAAACAAGGGCATTCAAGAAAGATCCTTTTAAGCAAGAATAGCAAAAATGCATATGTTGAGATAAATTGTATGCCTTAAAAGACAGAATTTAGATGAAGATCATAGGAGGAAAGTTGGAGCTGCATATTGCGTTGGCTTGAGCATATTAGACAGACAGAGTGATCAAAAGACACACCAATATGGAATGTAAAGGGGAAAACCAAAGATCACCTTGAATAGAAGGAGTTAATTACATGAAGAGGCTGGGTTTGTGAAACATATAGCATTAGACAGAAGGGAATGGAAAGAGAGGATCATGTAGGCGAGATAAAAATCTTGTTCCAGCTTTAAAATTAATCAGCCATACACCCAAAGTCCAATATAACCACTGCAGGGACTATGTCAAAGGCATATGGTAGGGCCGTAGGGGTACGACCATACCACAGAATACTTCCAGAAAAAGAATAACAACATCCTTTTATGATTTAGGAAAATCAACAGCTCTAAATATATATAGATGGTTAGATGTTACATGTGGTAAAAGAGAGTGATTTGAATAACTTTGCTAACATTCAGAAACCTCAATTATTAATACTATCATCAATTACAGGAAGACGAAAGGGAGTGTGATGGCTGATACGGCATTGGAATTATAGATGGGGATTGGTCTTGGTAGCCAAGGAACACAAAACAGCTACACAAAGCTTGAATGTGACGAAACTTATGGGAAATCATCAACATATACAGATGGTAATGGCTTGCTTCTTTTGTCTGAGAAAGACGATGTTTTTCAATGAGTAAGTGGCTTTTAAGCTACTCCGTTTCAAGATCCAAATCTTGTGTTGTGTGAAAGATGAGTAAGATGGACAATAGTTTTTTTAGTTCAGTAGGCCATTGCCCATCCCACTTTCTTTTCCATTCTCTTCAATTTGTGCTTATATTGTGCATTAAACAATTTCAAAAGAAATAGTTTCCTAAGTGTCTTACTATGTGTAAACAGTAAACTGTATCCACCAATAAGAGATGGTCTACTCTAATCTAGGGAAGACAAGAACTGACAAAAAATCCCAAGCCCTATCTTTGCTTTGTGCTTAGCTGCTAGCAATAGAATACCTGCTAGAATACTTGCAAAGGGGTATGGATAACCTCAAAGATGAGCTTGACTTCAATTATCGCAGATTTGCAGACATGAATTCAATAATTCCAAAAAAAAGAACCTTCAAAAATGGTTGTCACCATAAGACACCATACCTTCTATTTAAGACCAAAATAACTACCTACCCTTCCCATGTTGAAATTAATAAAGGACACTGAAGTATAAATTGGCAAGGCTGACCAACAATACTCCTATAGTCCTATTACTTACAAGATAGGAGAACTCTTTTATTATAAGGCAAGGTCAAAATGATATCTTCTTCTATTAAAAGTAATAAAGTATAGTGTATCATAAGGCAAGGTCAAAATGATTTTTTCTTCTAATACCTGGGAAAAAAGGGGAAAGAAAAACCCTAAACTTAAATTACTTACAAGATAGGAGGACTATTTTATTATATAAACTCACAAGCTCTAGAATTAAAAAAAAAATAAAAAAAAGAAAAAAAAAAGATGATGGTCACCTCTTCTCTCCTTTGTCCTCTTCTGTTTACACTATCTTCCCCTCCATATCTCCTCCCTCTTTCACCTACTAATGACTTCCGCTTCCTCCAACCAAGTGTAGCGACCAGCTAGGACATCACCATCTCATTGTGTTACACTCTAAGGGGGCGCTTGGATTGGGAGTATTAAATTAAGG